GGGGGATGCTCTCTATTTATCAGAAATGTCTGTGTCCCTTTTAGCAGCCTTACTCAGTGAGTACAGTATTTGTCTGTAGCCTGCGGCAATTGGAATTAAGAGGAATACAGGATTTTTTTTTCTCTCTTGGTGGAAGGAACCACTTCCTGCTTAGATCTGCTTTCTGCTTGGATTGACTTCCTGCCCAGAGCCACTTCCTACTTAAACTCTGCTGCTATTGTACTTACAGATGAGATCAGGTACCTTCAAGGTAGTATGCCTGTAAACTCATAGTACTTATATAAGTATGCTTGCAATTCTGTAGGAAACAGTCAGAAGACCTAGATAATTTAGAATCCTTTCCCTCCTTTATTAATCTATGATAACACAGACTGAACTTAGACCAGTGATGTCCTTGTCCATCCTCTCCATCAGATGCTGGGTTTACCTATATGACTGAGCTTGTGGCAAATACTGGCAAATACTCCATAGTGATGCTAATTAGATTGGCACACCCACTTGCCTTGGCATGTTTTATGGATGACCCAAATTGCAAACACCAACATGTTTAAAACATATGCTTTCCGCTTTGTGTAATTGCAGATCACCAAAATATGCCTACAAATAGGAGTATGTGCATATAGACTCTCAAATATTCTTTTTTGCCTGGCTGAAAGAAATATGCTTCTGCAATGTGTCTTTAACTCCCACACATGCCCCTCCGTGGCTGGCACATCTCCTAATTATTTCTATCTACTCCCTCCCCATAGACCTTTTTGTGTGTATATTTTGGCACACATTCTTTCGGTTCTCCCTACTTCCTTTCTGCCTCCCTTTCTTTCTCTGCCTCCCTCCTGTTCCCTCCTCTTCACAACTCTTTAGAAAATTTGTTAAACTATACACTCTTTATTATTAATGTACATTTATGAAAAATTCTTCACAGTTACAAAAGTGCATGGTTATAAAATCATCTCCATACAAAGGTTGGCATCTTCTCTTGAACCCCTCTCCCTCCCTCCCCCTCCCACCACCAGGCATTCAGTGCTTTGCAAAACAGTGCTTTGAAAAGGAAGAGTTCTATGGGTCCCAGCTCTCCAGTGCAAATGGTAGCAAACATGAAGGTGATTTGTGATTAGCCACTCCCCTTCCCCAACTGCTCTTTGACTTCCTTCTAGGGTGAAGAGCAGAGAAATTTCTCTAGCTTTTGGGGGGAGATGATCTTTTAAGGAATGAGTAAAGGTGTTGTCTTTTGTTCTACCATTGGAAAAACTGTCAGCAAAGAAAGCTGTAGAGAAAATGGAATTGTTGGAACTCCTTGAGAGCTGAAGAGGAATGCCTATGTTTGTTCAGATTTCAGATATCTAGTTGCTTGAAAGAGGTCATGAAATGCTATCACATTTCTGGTGACCTAGTTCTTCAAGGTCTCCTGGGAATTATGGTAAGAATGAAGAAGGAGAAGTAGGAGGAAGAAGAGGAGGAGGAGGAGAAGAAAAGAAGAAGAAGAAATAATAACAATAACAATAATAACAACAACAACAATAATAATAATAATGAGTTTTAGGGTATCCAGAGTGGAGTGGTGCAGATGTGGGATTTTTTTCTAAGGAGTCTTTTTCTGCATCAGATTTTGATCATGATAGTTCTGTTGGTTAAACGTTGATATCCTCAGACCCAACATGAAGGAAACATCGGTGATGAGGGTAAATCTTTGAGTCGTAGCAAAGGAGAGAGGCAAGCAAAGGAAGTCAGGTTCTCATTAACAGGCTTTTGCCTCAGAGTTTTCTCCTTTTGTATTTTCTACACAGCCAGACCCAGCCAAGCCTAGTGGGTTTCCATCTGGATATGTTAAAGAATGCAGTAGTCTGATGGCTAAGGGGATGGTGTCAGGTAACTGGACTCTAATCCCACAGAGATATTTTCTCCCCAAGTCACAAGATAATCAGCACAAATGGAACCTCACAGACAGACACATAGAGATATCCCATCACATCTGTGCTAGCCAGTGCTGAACAACTTGATAAAACCTTGAAAGAACAATGGTTAGTGGTCACCAGAGACATGAGAAGAATCACAACCAGGATTGCTAGCTTATTTCTAGAAATTTCATTCTAACAGTCTGAACAAGATGGTGGTGGTATGGTGGTGGATGAGTTTGTTGCTAGTAGGGAGGTTCAATGTCTCCCTCACTATACTTGAGGTAACTGGAGGACCTTCTAGTAGCTAGAGAAAGTTTTTTCTTTAAAGGCCATGTATCCTCCTCAAAATGTCACCATGAGTGGAGATCAAATTGTCCCACTTGAAAGGAGACTTGATCTCAAGGGGACATTTGGCATCTTGTCTAGTTCTAGTTCTATGCACAAAAAGAGAATAGGTACATATCTTAAAATATATTAGTTACAATTCAACAAACGAGTCCCCAGGAGATTATTATAGATGAGCATAGTGTTCCTCTATAGGTAGTTAAACTATTCTGTCAGGACTATTATTTCTAAAAGTTCTTTCCCCCAAACTTTAGGCTGTCAGCTTGATTGGTAGGAAGTGGCTGGAGGCCATTACCCTTAGCCACAATGAAAGGAGAAAGCAGGTATTTAGTTGTGTGTCGGATGTCACAGGGGCAGGGACTTGGCCCACATGGCCTGGGGACACAAAATTAGTTCAAGTTTCTGAGGGAGTGTTTAGTAGATTAGTTCAGGGAAGATGAGTGAGGGAAGACTTTGTACAGGATGTCATAGTCTCCTTCCTTCATGTTTATCTGGAGGATGGGGGTGATGGATGCTTGCTGGGGCTGGGGGGTAAGAGAAGAAAAGTCCCTCTTTTCATTCTCACCCTGGCCAGCAGTGCCTTAGGGCTTCCAGCCCCTGTGGAGGTTATCTAGAACTTTCTCTGTCTTCTTGGATTGTCTTGTAACGTAACACAGCAGCAGGGCTCTTTGGTAGGAGTGGACCTCACTCCTCACTGTGTTCCAAGGATTTTATTAGTTATGATTACTATTATTGTATATGACAGCTGCCACTGGCCATAAGTTTGGATGCTTTATATATACACTGCATTTCCATTTCAGAGGCTGTATAACTTGGGCTGCTCTGAACACATCTCCATGCACAGCTGGGTTCTATGTCTTTTGTTTAGATGATCTATTAGCATGTGCATGATGGCTGAATTCTAGAGTCCTTCCACTCACTCCTCCAAGGTATTCTGTTCCCCAAGCTTCTGGGGAAAGAGAACTACAATGGAGTTAAGTGAATTTTACCACTCTAGTCACACTTGGGTTGTTATGTCAAGCGCAAGTCAGACTCAGTCCTGAACTTCTACTTTCCTATCTATAAACCAGCCTTACTGGTGTTTGGATTAGTCTCCCACATGAGGTTATAAAAAGCCGAGGAGATGGACACAAAAGCACTTCCCAAACTAGTGCTAAGCAGACAGGGAAGGTGAGGAAGCAGATGGAACTATGGTAAAGAGGATGATGATGACGATAATTGTGCTTTACATGTAGTTACTTGGTTATTGACTGATTAGATGCGAGTTCCCTGAATGGTTCTGCTTGTTACCTCCTTTTTCTGGAGTCGGTCCAGATAACCTTGGATAAAGTTATGCAGCTCTCTACATACAACTGCAAAATAGGAACAATAAACACCACTAGGCAGTGTTGCTGTAAGCATTGAAATAAATGAGTCGGTAGATATAGTCGCACCCAGAAGAGTGCTTGGCCCTTATCAGCAACTCCATCAGCACTACTTGGATTTGAATTGATAGAGTTTGTCATGTTCCCCACTGGAACATCACCGTTGGAGGGGGCAGTAGAAACAGTGAAGACTTGATTGTGATCATCAAATGGCATGTTGACTTTTCCACCTCTCTGAACCTGAATTGCCTCTTCTGCAAAATAGCCACCAGAACATTCCCCTCAAAAGATTGCTGTGTATGTAGAGGGGATTGTCTGTGGAGAGAGCACAGAGCCTGCCATGGCAGGGGCTTCTGAATTAATAGCTCTGCCACCCTTATTCTTAAATAAGTGTGTTGCTTAGAAGAAAACGAATACCCTCCTGTGGTCGATCGTGATGGTGGTAGCTATGTTCTTCTGTCATGCCATGGGTCTGTAGCCCACAGTACGTGCTCCTGGTGAGATCCTTTGGTGTGAGCACCGTGTCAAGAACAGTCCCATCATTGGGGTCCCATGATTTCAGGATTCTTCCTGCTCTGTTGTGGGGGGTGGGGAAGGGTGGAGTACCTGCCTTCCTCTTCTAAAGCCAAGGCTTAAGTGAGAGGCGGAAGACAAGGGTAGGAGGAAGGGCAGTGAAGGTGTCCATCTGATCAGCCTGCTCCCTGGGACCTCACCTGCAGGTCACAGCGGGGGAATATGGTATGTGGGGGTAGTCAGTGGGAGGGGGGGTCTCACCTCATAGCTGGTAGTAGGAGGAGGCCAAAGGGACTGGCAGGGAGGCATTCTCATTCCCAGGAGGCAATGGTTGGCAGTAGGGAGGGCTTAGAGACTGGGTATCATAGGGAAAGGTTTGGTCCTATGCCAGACCCCCTCGTAGTCAGTTTTCAACACACCATACATGTTGTGGCCTCTGTCATTTGCTTTTGTCCAACCTTCTTGGTCTATTTGACACAGGAAACCTTCTTTTTTTTTTTTTTTTGATGACCCAGCTCACCAGTCCCTCCACTCTGTTTATTTATTTTTTTAATTCTTGATGACTTCTTTTCTGGGCTCCCAGGACTACGTGCTCAGAGCACTGACCAATGGTCGTCAAGGGGTCAGGGTGGACTTCCTGTCCTCTACTAGAAGCAGGCGCCTTGAGTGCAAGGGAATAGTTGGATTTATCCCGTACCCCCAGTTTCTAAGGGCACAGTGCCTGGCCCCCAAGTGGACAGATGCTCACACAAAGTTAGTGTCCCGACCTTGTTTGAGCCACGATGGAGGTGCCGAGGTGCCGTGGAACCAGGGTGGGCAGCCAGGGTGGGTTTCCGATGGTTATCAGCGATGGCAGTGCAGCATGGAGGGATGAGAGGCACCGGTATCAAATCTCCTCTTCTTCGCTGGCCTTGCTCCAGCGATGACAGCAGTTGGCGGTGATGCCCAGGAGGAAGTTGGTAGCCACAGAAGCGATGGAGACCACGAAACCCACAAAGGCGATGAAGAGGTAATCGTCCAGGGTCAGAGTCAGGTGGCAGGCCTTGAAACTCTCCTCGGTGAGTGAGAAGAGAGGGGCCCCCTCAACTTCAGGGGGCCCTCGACACTCAGCCAGCTGAGAATCTGCAACACAGAACATGGGCAGGTTGAGCAAAATGGACCGGAGAAGACCCACCCCTACTCCTTACTGGGTTTCCTCCATACATCGCCAGTTTACTTACCTTCTTCTGTCTCCTCAAGGACACTTAAGGTATTTTTATACCTGTCTTTATAGGTGTGAAAAAAACATTACTGCTCAGAGAGCCTAGTAATTTGCCAAAAGTCCTGTGGTAATGAATGGTAGAGTTTCAGGCATTTTTTTTTGTGGGGGCACTGTTGTCTTTTCCAGTAGTTTCTTACTGGTTCAGGGCTTATGACCCTAAGCCCTGTCCACACACTCAGTGGAGTGAGTGCTCCCTTCAAGCCTGAAGTCCAGTGTTCTCACTCTCAGCTCAACACCTTCCATTTTAATTAATTAATGAATTAATTAGCTGTAGAGTGAAAGTCAGGATCCTCACTGTGGGCTCCAAGGATAATTCCCCAGCTCTTTCATTCTGCCTCTTCTTTATCTTGCTCCAGCCATACATGCCTCTGATCTCCCATGACCCCAAGCAATCTCCTTTTAGCAGGGAGAGGGTGCTTTTCCACTTGCTCCTGATGAACGGGCTTTTCCCCTTGGTATCTGCTCATCTCATCTCCTTTGGGGTTTTGCTTGATATCATCTTATTAGTGGGGCATTCTCTTATGATTCTGTATAAAATAACACCCCATTTCTCCTTTCCCCAGGGGGACAATTCCATTATTTAACTAACAACTCTATCATTTTTCTCCCATGGTATTTATCATTGCCTGACAGTTCGTCTTTTGTGCATTTCCTCCTCCTTGAAGATAAGCTTCTATCACTGTACCCTCAGCAGCAGAAGGGTGTAATATCCAAAGCAGGTGTACAATGAAACCTTGTTTTTTGCTTTTGTCTGTCATGGGGCCTGAACTCTGGGCCTAGGTGCTGTCCCTCAGCTCTTCAGCTTAAGGCTAGCACTCTACCATTTAAGCCATAGTGCCATTTCCGGCTTTTTCTGTTTATGTGGTGCTGAGGAATCGAAACCAGGGCCTCATGCATGCAAGGCAAGCGCTCTACCAGAGCTACCTTCCCAGGCCACAATGAAGCCTTGTTAAGTGAATACGCAGGAGTCCCTCTGCTAACCTATGGGGCTTTTCCAGACACAGAGAATAGGTCAAGGCAATGGATTCTGCAGCTATAATCCTGGGTCAAGTTTTCATCTCTCACTAGTTGTGTGAAGGGGGCTGTTCCTTTTCTGGGCTGCTGTCTTCTCCAGAATTTCCCTTTCCCTCCTAAGGTCACCTCTCTAGGGGCCTGGTGGTTGTCAGTAGTCGGATCTGACTCTGCCTTGCAGGTAGGAGTGGAGTGTGGGAACAGTTCTGCCCTGCAGGGCTGGGCACTGGCTTCAGAGCCAGCTGGACCTTTGTTCAAGCCATAAATGTTAATTGAGTTTTTACCCTGGGAAAGTCTTGTGTGTGTGTGTGTGTGTGTGTGTGTGTGTGTGCGTGTGTGTGTGTCTTTCTGTGTCTTATGTTATGCCTCTATAAGAAGAGCAAAAATCCAATTTAAATTTCCTAAGAGTCAGTGTGAAGTTTTTTTTAAATGATGAAGTATTTAAATTAAGGGTGTATAAAAGTCAAGTATTCATTATATGATTCTTGAGGGCAGAGAAGAAAATGAATGGACTTCAGTTGATCTTTTTGACAAATGGATGCGTATCTTCATTCTCAGAAATGGGAGGTCAGGTTTGAGCTGAGGAGAAGGCAAGTTCTAGATTAAATTGTCCCTATAGGTTATTGGCACTGGACTTGAGATCCCTGGCTGGGCCAGGATTACATCTGGAGTTGACCTGCAGGAAGCGCTCCTCTAGAAACAGAAAAGATGCTCAACTCCAAAGTCTATTGGGCACCTGAGCAGAGTACACAGACAGCTAGAGGACATGCTGGGAGCAGTCAGCAGGACACACAGGATGCAAGGCGGGAAGCTGGGTGGGGGGAGGGCTGACAAAGCTCTCAGTAAGTCAGAGTGTAGCCTACTAGTTTCTTTTAGTTCTTCTTGTCTGAATCTTTCTTCAAAAAACACAAAGACAACTGAGAATCCCACAAAGAAAAATGGGAAGAAGTAATGGGGTGAAAAAAAAGACCTAAAAGGGACCACATCACTTGACGATGTCTACATTGGCAAGGGTTTGTCCCCATGAGGAATGGTGGTCAGTGTGTCATGGGACAGACCTGTTGTAGGGAGGAACTGGGGACCTGCTTGCCTCTTACGATGGGTCTGTGGATGGCCTTTGTCCCTTTCAGGAGCTCTGGTCCCTAAACTGCCCTGCTGTGTGGGGCTATGCTGTTACGATCATGGACTCCTCCCTTGCCTGCTGGGAGCCTAGGCCTCTGCAGGGGAGCAGGGATTTTTAGAGCTTCCCAAAAGAAGAGGAGTCCCTCTGTGAACTTGAGCTAAGCACCCAAAGGCCCTTTCTGTCACTAGTGACAGGAGAGAGGGAAGACGTAGTCTGCAGAGGCTGGGCGGGGCGGGGGGGGGGAGCTTGCTTCAGGCAGCCACCTCCTCCTGCCCCCCAGAATTGTCCCATCTCAGTCCCCAGCTATTTCAGTCCCGGAGAACTTCCTCCCACAGCTCTGTGGAAACACTGGAATCGTGACCCACAGGCCCCCTCATACTATTTTGGTCTAGGGCTCCCCACTCAGTCATCCTCTCTTTCCTACCTCATTCAACAGTATTTTTTTTCTTCTGAGCAGACAGAGTCCAGGTTCTGGGATGGGATCCTAGTGACTACTATTATTCTGAGGCTGGGAGCCTGTGTTAGGTGTAGTCACATGGGAGAGCTGGCGGCTGAGGCCACTGCTGAACTTTGCTGGCCTCTGGGTCAGGCTTCGACACCTGGGGTGAGGTCCAGATCCATCAAACCAATGTGACTCCATTAGGCCTCCATTCCACTCTCCATCTGGGATTGGCGGATTGAATCGCTACATCTCAGCTCTCTTTCTCAGTTTCCCATCTAAGAACACATTTTGAGGACTCTGTTGAGCCCTCTGGGCAGACCACAACTTGGACTGTTAGTCCAGAGCCTGACTCTTGAGGGTGTATAGCCAGACAACAGCCAAACTTCCAAGGTCCTGACTTAATCAGTACCTGAGTGACTTTGGGCAAAACACACCACCTCTCTGTTCCCTGTTTTCCTCTTACAGAGAGCAGGGGCCTTGTCTTGTGAGAGTTCTTGTGAGGGTAAGATGAACGAAAGTACAAAATAAACTTCGAATAAGGCCTGGCAGATAGTACGTATTAAAATAAATAGTGTTATTCATTCCCATGTCTCCAAAGGAATTCAAAAGGAGCCTGGTAGTGCAGAACAAATGCGGAGAACTCAATGAACCTGAGCTATAGCTAAAGCTCTACTGCTTTGTACGTGAGATGACTCTGGAAGAGCCTTTTCCTTATTCTCAATCTCAGTTCCCCTCTCCCCCCCCCCCCCCCCCCCAGTAAAATGGGAATGATAAAAAGTGGATTCAATGAGATAAATGCATGCCAAGTTCTTAGGTGTGAGAAAGCTTTCCTACTTCCTCCCTGGCTACTTCAGGGAGGAAAGTCCGTAAGTCTCCTCTCTCCAACAAACTCCCCCAAAGTTGAAGTCTGGTAGAACAGTAACCTTGAGCAAAAATTCTCAGGAACAAGGCTCAGGCTCTGAGTTCAAGTCCCCGGGACCAGCACCAAAAAAAAAAAATCAACTCATGTTTGTTGATTGAAAGAATAGATGTAGGGGCTGAGAATGTGGCTCAGTGGTAGAATGCTTGCCTAGCATGCATGAAGCCCTGGGTTCAATTCCTCAGTACCACATAAACAGGAAAGAGCCAGAAGTGGCGCTGTGGCTCAAGTGGTAGAGTGCTAGGCTTGAGCAAAAGAAGCTCAGGGACAGTGCCCAGGCCCTGAGTTCAAGCCCCAGGACTGGCAAAGAAAAGAAAGAAAGAAAAAAATAAGAGTACAGATGTACAAAATGGGACACCTAGAGGTCTCACTTTCTTCGGGAATCTATGCTTTAGGAATTCCTCCCCTTGTAACCCCCCACCCCTGTACAGCCATGCCCTCTTACCCGCTGTACAGCGCTGGATTCGGTTTCGCAGCCATTTCAGCAGCGGCTCCATGGTGCAGCCACATACCCAGGGATTGCCCCCGATCTGCAGCGTCACCAATCCAGGCAGGTCCTCCAAGGCCTCCAGGCTGAGAAAGGCCAGGCCTCCATAGCTGAGGTCCAGGTCCCGGAGCTGCACAAGGCCCTGGAAGGCCTGGGGGTGTACTCTACGCAGCCACGGGTTGTGACTCAGGTCGATGTGCACCAGCCCATGGGCCTCCTGGAACATGTCAGCCGGCACATGGCTCAGGTTGTTGTAGCTCAGATCCAGGTGTGCCAGACGCTTGGCATGCAGGAAGAGGCCGGGGGGCAGCTCCATCAAGGAATTGTTGCGCAGGTCCAGCACTTGGAGCTCCATGTAGCATGTGAGGTAGCCTGGCGGTACAGCTGTGATGCGGTTGTGGGCCAGGCTGAGGTTGCGGGTGTCCATCGGCAGGTCTGGGGGCACAGAAAATAACCTCTGGCCGCTGCAGTCCACCACTTGGTTGTGGCAGGTACAAAGGACCGGGCAGCTGGTACCTGCCTCCAAGTGTGCGACACCAGCGGCCAAAAGGAGAGAGACTAATAGCATGGCTGGGTGGAAGGGCCCAGGCCAGGGAAGCTGGGCCCAGGTGTCACCCATCTTAGGCAGCCGGCAACAGCAGTGCTGAAGGGAGCCCATCAGGGCTGGGTCCATGGGTCCAACAATCAGGGCACGGGGAGGCAGTTACATCAGAGGCCTGAGTCCCGGAGGTGTGGCTGCTAAGCATGGAGTGTTTCGGCTCAAGCTTTTCCTGGAGCCTCTAAAGCACCAAAGGGCATCTTGAAGAGCCACAGGAAGTCTCTTCTGTTTTGGACCCTAGAGGGAGGCCCAGAAATCCAGTGGAGATCTCCCGGGGTATGAAAAGATGATCAAAACTTGAGAAAGGAAGGAGCGGAGGATGAGGCTGGAACAGATGCCAGCAGGTCCTGAAAGGGACCCTGTAGGTCATGTGTGCCCTGCTAACCCATGCCTTCTGGATGCTTCTTGGTACTGAGAGGTAGGAGGGAGGGGGTAAGGGAGATGAAGGTGGCCTTTAAAGGTCCTGGCAGTTCTTCTCAGAAAGTTTACGCTCTGCCCCAGGTGTGAGACTGAAAAGCATTCAAGGTCTCAGAGGCCATTTTCCCTGATGGTCCAGTGGTCTTGAGTTCAGGGAGGCCCTGGATAGGAATTTGGGAAAAGGAGCCTGGGAACAAGTAGGTCTCCATGAGTATTTCTCAGTCTCGGTGGATACAGTAATCCCCAGGGATGCTCATGGCTCCCCAGGAAGAAGAAAGAGCACCCCCAAGTGACTTGCCACTATCGGGGAGCCACCACAGCTGGAAAATGTTCTGAGTCTAGGAGGTCCAGGACGAAGGTCAGCTAGGAAAGCCTTGGCCACTTCTCCAAGTCGCTTCTCCCTCAGGGAGCTTGCGTATTTAGCAGGTGGGGGCTGAACTCACTCTGTCAACAAGGAAAGCACTCAGGAAGAGAGAGCCAGGGCCCTCCACATACATCCCTGTCCCCCTTAGCCAGATCCCTCGTCTCTCCTCACTCATTCCCTTTTCTTCTTCTCTTCCTCCTGTGTCTTATTGGACCCCACGCCAATGTTTCCTGTTTTACAGGAGGACCACGTTGGGCTCGGAGCCCAGCCTGATGCCGCTGTCACGGTGAACAATGATGAACCCCACCTGACCTGCAGCCAGCCTCCTCCCTGGTTGCTGTCCTCAGTTGGATGTTTCTGCAGATGCCCGTAGCTCCGTCCTCATCAGCGCTAAACACCCTACCCTTGACTGAGACCCCTGAAGAAAAACCTGAATTCATACTCTGATTGTCTGCACACCCCTTTCAAACACTTTCAGCACCTCTCTCTCTCTCTCTCTCTCTCACACACACACACACACACAAGTTCATACTTCCCCATTTTTTATCCTTCCCTCTCCACACACACTTTTATAGAGCCCCCTTCCCACCCCCGCCCCATGTGCCCCACCATCTCCCCCCTCCCACTGCCCCCGCCCAATTCCAACATCCATTTTCACAAAACACTACTCTCCAGCTCCCTGCCCCCAGCTCCAGCCCACACCCACACTTGGTCGGCAACGATAGCATACTCAGAGCCTTGCCCCCCTGGCCGTTTGACACCCTCTGTGGTTATAGCTTCTTCCTTATCCATCGGCTGTCCTTACTTGTCCTCCCCCCACCCCTTTCTCCAGCATTGATTCTCTTCCCACCCTCTCTCCCCATTGCTTCCAGCCCGCTTCCTAGGAAATCACCCCATGGCCTCTTTATTCAGATTTGTTTTTTCTAAGCCCTAAGGTCTCCCACTACCCCTCCCACAGGCCCTCAGGAGCCTACTCACTCGGTTCCAAGGACACAGCCATCAATCTGCCGCAGACTCGGGCTCTCCCACTCTCATTCTGGAATCCCGCTTGCTTGCTTGCTGGCTGGCTGGCTGGCTGGTTCTCTGGCTGCTTGCTTCAGAACCGATTGCCTACTGGGATCTTCCTCCTCCCCCGGCTGTTTCTGCTTCCGTGGTTCCTGGATCCCAGGCTAGCATCTTCTGTGGTTTTCCTGTCCAGGGGTCCCTGTGTACCCAGAATGGGGAATGTAAGAAAGGATGCTTAGAAGAAAGTTCACAGAATCGAAATGCTTCTTTCTGAAACTGCCGGTGCTGAGGCTGCTGGGTGTGTGGCTTCCGCCAGAGCCACCTCTTCCCCTCCCTTCTTTTTTCCTCTCTCTCTCTCTCCCCTCCTTGTATCCCTCCCCCCTCCCCTATCTTTTTTGTGCTCCCCCCTTTTTTTCCTCGAGGTCCAGGTAATGACGTTTCACTGTCTCTTAGCAACTGCCTCCACATCTCTGAGCAACAGGAGAACTGGCTATAGACCCCACCAAGATGAAAGAGGAGAGAAAAAAGTACTCAGCTGAACTCACAGTCAGCCACAGGATCCTAGTGATAGTGGGAAGGGAAGAAAGGGAGAGGAGGGGAGGCATCCCAGGACAGAGAGAGGGGAGAAGAGCAGACAGGTGACAGTAAAAGGGTCTATCTGGCAGGAGAGCTTGGAGTAGGAATCTCAGATGTTGGGATAGGGGGTACATTTAAAGGAATCAGATCCTAGAGGGACACTAGAGAGGGTTAGAATAGAGAGAAAGTGTTCGTGAATGGGGGCAGGAGGAGAAACAAAATAAAGAAGGTAGTGTTGAAGGTATGAATGAGGATGGAGAAAAAAATTCATGTACACGGCGCTCCATGTTTGTTGGGGCTTCTCTCTTCAGACACTGAATCACATTTATGACTGGCCACATCCCGTGTGGATCTCAGCCAGTGTGTTTTGGTCTCTAGTACCAGGTGGCAGGTTAAAGCTTGTTAGGGTCCATTCTAGGTGAGAGCCCTTCTTCTCTGTTCTTTGATTGTCCCCAAGTCCTGATGCCACAAGCTGTCTGGGGCTAGTAGCTTCGCCTGGAGCCAACCAATTTCCCCTTGGCTTTGGATCTGAGAATCCTTGGGATACAAAGGGCCAGCCGCCTGGGGCTCTGCAGACACTTGGATGGGTCTGTAGGGCACTAGAAATGGACAGCAAAGCCTTGTCCTTTCTTCTTTCTATGCGGGCCCCAGGGGTTCTCTCTGATGTCTTATTCCCTTCACGCATCCTGTGTCCAATTCCTCCTACACACCCAGACAGACTGACTTCATATGAGGGTGAAATTTTCACATTTTTTCTCATTGACCTATTGAACAAATTAATTACTGTCCTGTGTTTAAATCTTTGGCTTGACTAGTTGGTTTGATCAAAGAGCTGGCTAATTTTCTTTTTCAAAAAACTACCTCCTTCCCTTTTTTCCCCCTCCCCTCTCCCATCTCTCTCTTCTCTCTCTACCTCTCTTTCTTTCTTGAAATAGGGTCTTGCTATGTAATCTAGGCTGGCCTAGAACTCATGATTCTTCTGACTCCACTTCCCAAACACTGGGATTACTGGTTTCATTTCCTTTTTAAAAATAAAAGCTCCTTTGTTCATTCCCTGTGTATGGAGAAATTGGCGGTAGGTTTATTGGTGCTCAGAAAGTGGGTATGGGCAAGTCCCCCATGTAGCTGACATTGGCTTTGGGTTTTCAATCAGCTGACCTGGATTTTATGTATTTTTTTTTTTTTTTTTAGGTTCAGTAGTGGGGCCTGAACTCTGGGCCTGGGCGCTGTCCCTCAGCTCTTCAGCTCAAGGCTAGCGCTCTACCACTTGAGCCACAGCGCCACTTCCGGCTTTTTTCTTTTTGCTTATGTGGTGCTGAAGAATCGAACCCAGGGCCTCATGCATGCAAGGCAAGCGCTCTACCACTGAGCCACCTTCCCAGCCCCTGGACTTTATGTATTTAAGTAATACTGTAGGTCTTTGGAGGAGCCAAGAGTATCATCCTAGAAGACAAGTGTGAATTTATACAGGTTCTGAGTACTTCCTATATGCCCAAGGTGGTTGGCATTGTTCTTCTGAATGTGGTTGTAGAAAGTTAGTTTCCCTGGGTGCTCTATATCACACACATTTGGAATTGCTTATGTCCTAGAGGGTCTAGCCCAGCGTAACATGGTAGACATTTCAGATATGACTGAATCTATGTAGATAAATGTAATTTACCTCCCCCCTACCCCCAGTGTGTGTGTGTGTGTGTGTGTGTGTGTGTGTGTGTGTGTTTGTGTACTGGGGCTTGAACTCAGGGTTTGGATGCTGGTACTATGGCTTAAACTCAGGGCCAGAGTGCTGACTCTTAGCACTCTACTACTTGACCAATGGCTCCACTTTTCATTTTTCTGCTGGTTAATTGGAGATAAAAGTCTCATGGAATTTTCTGCTAGAACCCTAATCCTCAGACCTCAGCTTCCTGAGTAGCTAGGATGACAGGCACGAACCACTTGTACCCAGCTCTCTCGTTCTCTTAAAAGCAGGCAATGGTTGTCTAATCTCACTTATGAGGTGAGAGAAAAAAATCGAATTAAGAACTCATTGAAACAAGCAATCCAACTGTAGGACTGTTGGCCCCAGGAAAGCAAAACTAGCATCTTCTATTAACTTAAAAAAATGCCAGAAAACAGAATTGTCTCACCCAAGGGAATAATGAAAGGTAATTATGACAAGCCAGGAGGTATTTAGCACAATTCAACATTCAATACTGACTACAAACAAATACAAAAAAAAAATGGAGCCTTCCTTTCCCCTCTTCAATATGTCATGAAGTTTCAATTCATATCTATAACAGTAATAGACTAAAAGGAAATACTGGTGACAGTGTCCTTAAAAACTAGGATCTAGTCAAGAATGTCTGCATTTGAAACTTCACATTTTCGACCTGTGAATGAGGGTTCATCATAATAACCGCACTTCGCTAGGTAATTTCATGTACATGAGTCATTACTATAATAAAGCACTTAGAGCAATACACAGCACTTCAGATGGTTTTGTTAGATGAACAAATAAAATAAAAACCAAGAATGGGGTAAAAATGTTGAAGTCGTTATGTAGCAAGGCAAACAAATAAATTGCACACAACTGAGAAAGGAAGAAAAGAAAATACCACATTTGCTGATGATCTTCGTGTATTCTCTTGCAAGAGGAGTTACAAAGCCTGCAGGAAACACTACTTCAGGGACATAATGATTGTACATACTATCTTCTATAAAAGCCAAGTCCAATGAGGTAAAGATATTTGAAATGACTTTTTAGTTTTAATCATTCTATGACTCATTCAGGGATTCTCTGAATCCCAAAGTGGTGTTTCGTGGCAGACTGTGCACCATGAGAAAACAATGGTTGTTCTCAAATCAGTATGTTAAATGAGATGAGAGAAACTTATTCATTGGAAGATTTTTCAGAAGAAGGTTTCTCATTTGTGATGTACAAATGTATACCACAAGTGAGAGCTTTTGGGAGGGAGGGGAGGGACAAAGGAGATAGAACAGCTAATATTTTCTAAGCTTAATGTAGATCTATATTTTCTTCCTACCTTTCTTCCCTCTCCTTTTGATGTGCCCTTCTAAATCCAAGAGGCCTTGGTAGGCAAGTGCTCTACCACTAGAGCCACAGCATCCTTAGCCATTTTCCTTTTCCTTTTCTTT